TCTAAATTGAGTCTAAGATGGGTTTGTTTCTCAGATTGCCTCCAACTGGCAACAAGCACCAAATACGTCTTTCATTGCAAGAGACATCCCATATTCCATAAGAAAGTGTACTGCATTGCATTTTAAAAAATAGCTCTAAAAGATTATCATTAGCATAATCTAAGTGCAGTGAAACCATCACAAAGCACTTAAGGCTACCCATAAACGAGCACCATTTTATTTATCCAGTTCTGAATATAAGGACTAATTACTTCAGCCTGCATTATTAATACTACAATCATGGAGGAACACTGTGGACCAGAGTGCGCAAGGCGTGGTAAGAACACATCAGCACTGTTTGGAAAATACGCGCACACGTGCATACATGTAAATTCACACGTATCATATGATGCCTTAGGCAGAATGTACTACATTTTGAAAGGTTTGCATATGATTGAGAAAATGAAGCTGAAATGGTGTGTCCAAATAAACTGGGGATTCAATCGCTCCAGTGAGGGAAACAAGTCAATAGCGGATGGGATCCACACCTTCAGGACCAGAACAAAACCACCTTCTTAGTTTTAACCGTCATCTGACTTGCAGCCCTGTGAAAAGAGTAGAGCTTGGCACATATCTGGCACCTGTTTTAAACCTTAACATAGACTTCTCAGAAATAATCCAAAGCAATCTCAATAGTGAGGAAGTTAGCATCGCACTCCACCTCCCTTTCTGTCATGTTTGTCAGGAGAAGATTTTAGCCTTGAGCACCACGACGGTTGGTCTGGCACACCACTTGAGCATTAGACTACACCAGTTCTCTTCATTCCCATTAAACTGAAAAAAAAAAATACACAAAATATCTCCTGAAGTTCAAAAGTATACATAAAAGTGTGCACCAGCACTCTGTCTCTTACAGTGAACTGGCTATTATGGGAAAGCTGAAACCTGTGGAGCTAAGCATGTGACCTCTTTAGTAGTCCAGTATCTAAGGATTCTCCCAAACATTAATATCTCAGAGCAGAGTGCAATATAAAGGTCAATAATGAATTAGGCATCAAACGTCTACAAATATACCTAAAAAAAGTTGTTTGAGCCAAAACAAGAACACACTTGCCACAAAAGATGGGTGTCCAAATTAGTACTATACAGGATCAGGCTTTTGTTTGCTCTCTGTCTCCAGCTCAATAGATCTTGTGTTAAGTATTTCACTCACAGAAAATTGAATTTTCAGATTGCAAGAAGGTAGGTGATGGAGGTTTGATGCTACATGAAAAAATGTCCTTGAACGCAGGCTTCCCACATCACCAATGAGTGCTTTTACTCAAAGCCCAGTGTGGCTGCTGCTTTGGCCGTGTTTCAGAATACAGCAGTGCTGTTGCTGCCACCTTGCCTGGAGTGCCCTGCCTGGGAAGTGTTCTCAGCGTGACTTGCTGAACCTTCCTTGGTTAGGTCAAGCATCCCAGAAAATGTTTTCAAGAGGGTGTTTTTGGATTTGGGTGCCTACTTTCTGCTGAAATTCACTGCAGGCACCTAAATTCTCATCTAAATTTGCCTATAAAGCACAGCTGAATTCTGAAGCAAAAGATTTAAGTTGAAAAAAACCATTAACAGGTTTCTAGTCTTCCCTTAACATAAACCTTATTGATGATTTTCTCATCAATTCTAGTACTGGTTAGGGGGAGAGGAACTTCTCCCTTAACCAGGCCAAAGAGACTATGACAATAACTTGGTAGCCTGAAGCCAACCTGCGAGCAGGCAGAAGGCAAGCAGGACATGGGCAGTGCTCCCCTACACTCCCACGGGAAATCTGTCATACAGGTACTTTCACAGCATGCTTTCTAACATGCACAGGCAGGCTTGACATCCATGCAAAATATAACTCAAAATATAACTCAAAATGCAGCTAGAGGAGGCACAGAACATCAGCCTTTTGACTGCTAACTCAGTGATAAAAATACTTGTGCAGGACTGGAGAGACCAGGGTTCAGTCTCCTCCTCCAAACTTTACGGGCAGCAACATTCAGACAGAAAACAGAAGAACACTTCCCTTTGTCTCTCTACCTTTTCCTGGCCATTGGATAACAAAATCCTAATCTTCTTCTGATCCAATAAATATCAAAATCCTCTCTGCGGGGCAACTAAGTGCAACTGGTAGAATGATGGCAGGAAAGCTGGAGAACACAGCTTTTTCCCACCACAGTCACACCACATCACTAATAATAACTGACCTCTTGGAAGAAAGAGCTGAGTGAGTGACTTTTGACTAGGTCACTTGGAAAAGGGAACTGAAACCAATCTCTCCCTTCTGCCATGGCTGCTTTACTTCAACAAAAAACAATCAAGAGAATAAAAAATGTCTGCTTGTGTATGGGAGCACAGGAACATGTAATATGTTATTAATAACCACATTTTAAAAGAAAATGACAAACCATTCTCAGTTCTTAAAAAAAAAAAATCACTTACTCTCATAAGTGAGGTTCCTGGTAGTGAATTCAAGCTGGCAGAGCCCTGCAAAATGACAAGCAAAACCATGGCTAAGGTTTGCCCATGTATCCTGTTTGCCTCAGACACCAGCTATGAGCATCTCTTTGCCTCAGAGGCAAGCTGGCTGTCACCTCAGGTAGTGGTGTTTTGGATTGCTTTCAGTCCTTACTCTTCCTGGGCATCAGATAAAGAGCCTAGACGTCTACCTCAGGACTCCAGGCTCCTCTGCAAAGGCGAGTACTTAAAGGTTTGATGTGAAGCCCAAGCTCTTAATTGGATCCAACCCTGTAATTTGTTCCATAATAGGATGACCCAGCAGGATTATTTACAGCACACCATGAAAGCAAATCCCGAAGAAGTGACAATGCAGCAGTACAAAGCTGTTGTACTGATTGTATAAATTGCCTCATTCAACAGCATTAGGCGGGCTATAAATATTTCAGTTTTGTACCTCTCTCCAATTTCACATCTGATGTTTTTTGAGGAAACAAGTGATGCTTGGGAGAGCCTTCCTCCATTATAAACAAAATAATACATAGGTTCCCACAGAAAGCTCAGCAGCAATCAATCGGAGATTTTTAAACGAACTGAGGCGTAATGGAAGACTCTTACAAAACACATCTTCAAAATAATTCTGTAATAGCCTGATGGGTTTATTCCACTAAATTTAAAGCAGGTAATTTTTTTCAAAATATAATGCCACTAGTACAAAAAAAAAATTATTGAAAATCCTGTGATACTGAAAGAAAATGAAGCTTCAAAATGGCAGCGTTCAGACAGCACTGGCATTTTGTTGTGCTACTACTCCGTCCACCCAACCAACAACTTAAAAACAGGTTCCAGAAAAGCTGTGGTAAAGTGCTGCTGGGTATTTCAGCATGTTTTTTTGTCGCTTTTAGTTTTGTGTCATGGCGTCACATAGTTTTGAGAGCCAATTACCAGCAAGGACCTCATTTGCAGATTGTGACTGGGATAAGACAAGCAGGTGTCCACCCTGACAGCGCACTGGAAGAACAAGGTCTTGCCTAGTAAACAGGCAAGACGTGTATAACATGCCATCCATGTGCATAACAGCAGTGAGAGTGTCTCTGCCACCCAAGCAGATACCATGGGTGCTAAAACAACTTTTTGAGCTGAAAGTTATTCTTAGCAACTCTCTCTGCAAGTGGAGAGAAGAGGCTGTGCAGTCAGACACTACTGTATCCTGTGACCAAGTCCGCACATGCTGGAGATAGCTATCTGTAACAGGAAGACAATTTTCCTCGTAGACTTTTTGGCTAATTTTTTTCTGTTCTTGGTAAAAATGTCTATATTACAGGCAGTTAGACCTCTCAGAACTTAAACACAAATATTTGCATATTCACATCAGCCTAGGGTATGCAATGTACAGAACTACTGGATAACATGACCACAGACAAAGTGTGACTCAAAGAAAATCATCGGGAGTAAAATGTTTTAAATTAACCTCTGTTTAAGGCTTGATTTGTGAGAGATGCTGAAAGCCCAGATCACACATCCCAATATTCAGAAACCAGCTCTGGAAATGTTTAAGTGAAAAGTTTCTACCTACCTCTGCCCACAGAATGGAATGAACGACACATACAAAAAATCTTCCAACTCTGGAGCACAAGCATGCTATATAAATGTCAGCTATTATCATTAGCGTGTCTGAAGCCGGCTTGACACCGTGTGAAGTGAATAGCAGATCACACCTCACTAAAAACAAACCTTACAAAGGAAACCTTCAACACTGTCGGTAAAAGAGACATGCTAGCTTCTTGCCACCTACAGGTGAAACACTAAAATCCTCATGATCCAGCAGCTAACTACATCTCAGATTCCAGTGTTTGGAGAGCAAACTGCCTCAGATCCAGAACTGACATTAAATACGAACAGAATTAGGATTACAAACTTTGTGCAACTTATGGAATGTTTTCTGGTTTTATTTTAATGTTGAAGCATTTCAAATTTTAAATACTCAATTTTTTATAATCACTCCACTTGACAAGGCTTTGATTGGTTGTTTCTTTATGAAGAACAGCTGAAAGATCTCCTTTTTTCTTTTTTTTTCCCTAGTCCCACACTGTGCTTCTGCTAATTACCATTGATTAGCAAACAGCTTGCCAATTAACCCCCGACAGGGCAGTAATTAGTTTGATAGTATTACATGTCATCCAAAAGGCAGTGAGAATTTATTGTTTGTTTCAGACAATTAGCAAGGGGCTGGCAGAGCTGATAATTGCCTAAAAGCTAAATGTTCCAGAACCGCTGAGATAAAACACATGATTGGATGTCTGTAAGTATATTTAAAGCTAGGAAACAAGCTTCTAGCTGTTCTGGAGGAGAATTAAAATTAGTGGGAGAAGAAAGACCAGCAGGGTTTTTTGGGGGGTTTGTTTGTGGGTTTATTCAGGTTTGGGGTTTTTTTAAGCTGTTAGAGTTTGTTCTGTTCTAGTCTGCCATTAATATTAGTTAAATATAATTAAAAGCTAGAATTGACTTCAAGCAAAAGCATCTGGTAAAGAGTAAGATCTAAAATGACTTTCCTTCCAAAGTGGTTAACCTTTCTAAAAGGCAAAGAGGTTGTTATTGCTAATGCTATAATTGCAATATTGACAATTGGTGGGCAGCAACTCTTCTCTTTTTTTACATTCAACTGTCCCTGTCATGCTGGGCAGAACCTTGTCTATGGGCTGGCTTTCCTAGGAGTTCCTGCACTGATCCTTTTGGTTGTTGGCTATGCCCTGAACAACCAGACTTGGAGGCTGGTTACAGGCAAAAGGTCTCCTCTCCAGGAAGTGACTCCACCGCACCGGTTACTGCAATGCAAGCTGATCTGCTTTGTCTTGTGCAGCATTACTGGGAGAGCACTGGTTGCTCCAGTAACGTGGCTAGCTGTTACCCTGATAAATGGCTCATATTATGTCTGTGCCATGAGTGAGTATGTCTCCGTGCATTATTATGGAGCTAATCCTAACATTACTACTAGCGAACACAGGAGGATATCGGCTGTGTTTCCGTGCAGTCAGTTAGTTCCTCCAGAGCTGACCCGGGCAAGAGATGAAGTGATTCTCCTACTCCGATACCAGTCACAAGTGAGTAACCCATTGCTTCTGTTGCCTGTGGATTTACTGATGAGAACTAGAGTTAATTCAGCAGGCAAAGCGTTAGGATAAAACAGGATCAGCATCTTCTGCCTTGAGTGCCAAATCTCTGTGTGTTTCAAAGCCTGCTTTGTTCCTGTAAATGAATTGAACTTTAAGTACAGAATTCATTACGTCTGGTTGTCCATTTTGTTACCTGCTACTGGAAGATATATTCCTCCTCCTGTATTACCTTGAAAAGTTACACCAAGTAACGCAAATGGAAGTTCAAGAGCCAGACAGGGTATTAAGCTTCTTGATTCAGACACAAGAAACGTCTTTCTGAAAGGGCCCAGGCTGCAAGAGCTCCCCCTGAACTAAATAAAAATCTTGGTTTTTTTGATCAGACTCAATTCTAAAAGCTTACATACTGGGTAAATAATAGGGGGGATGTTAAGTTGCCACTTCAAAGAAAATCAGTTTTAAGCAGGCTAGAAGTTAACATGGACTAGTAATTTGATGGCTTCTCTGCCATAGACTCACAACAATAGCTGTGGAGGCAAAATTCTTAATAAATTATCCAACAGAACTTCCTTGAACTTGACAGAAAGAAGCGACTTTACTACATGGCTACCTGCAGTAGGCAGTTTGGGTTTGACAACAGACCCTTACCAGGCTTGTACCTTATTAACCTTAGTATTCAGGAAAAGCAAGTAAAGATCATCTTACAGATTTTCTGATGCTCAGAAGTTACCACTGTGAGTGTTTTCAGCTGTAACAGCTCCCCCCCCCCTTCTTTTTCTTTGTAAGGTGGCTGGCTGGCTTCTGATTGCTGTGGTAGTCATCACTGTCTTCCTGTCTTACTGCCTGGCAAGCTGTTTCTCCCCACTCAGCTACCTACATTTCAGATACTGGAGCAGCTATGTCCACAATGAGCAGGAGCTCTTTGATGAAGCGACAGACCAGCACTCCAGGCTCTATGCCATGCAGCATGTAAGGAAGTTCTTTGGCTTTGCCCCAGGGAGTGAAAACGTGAAGGAAATCCGTATCCCGTCTCTCAGAGAGTGGCAAGCCATTTCCGGACTGGCCTTTCTGAAACGAGTGGATGAGGAGCATTACGACTACAGCCTCCTCCATGACTGGGCACTCAAAGAGTCTGCAGATGGAAGATACCTGAAGACTGATGAAGATCCTGTGATCAGAATATAGCTCTGAGGGTCCAAGCCCCCACCAACACCTTGGGGAAAAGCAGGAACTTGTCTAGTTCCACATCAGACCTGAGCTGCTCTGGACCTTTCCAATGTCTTATTACATTGATATATGAAGTACGTGAGCAAGTGCATCCTGTTAATGTAGCCCGCTAGCCTTTCTTGATGGTGTCTGACTCCTGTGGGATGTGATATTTTATGTCTATATTGGAGTGGGCTGCGTCAAGATGCACCTCTCTGCCTTCTAATACTTGTGGTAAAAGGATAAGTATGTACTGGGAAACTTACTCCCAAATGCTTTTCCTTTCCTCTCATTAAAAAAATCTTTAAAAATTAATAGCTAGACTTTGAATCTTCCGAGTCAGTGCATTCTGTGCAAAGCAAAAGCAGACAGCCTGCTTTGTCTTAGCAACCCCTAGCACAAATGCCTTATTTCTGCTTTTCCACACCCTTCTTGTATTACGTGAATAAAATACACTGAGCTAACCACAAGCTAAGTCTGTGGCTACAGCAGCACAGAATAAACATGGGGAAACTTTAGAACAAAGGCTGGGTGTAGGTGTAGTGATGTGAGAACTTTCAATTCTGGTAAGGAGATACAATGCTCACTGAGACGCACAGGATGGGGGGGTGCAGCTGTATGAACAAATGCTTTATATGTGGAAATTTCAATTCAAATGTATTCTGGCTGAAAGAAATAGCAAGGTCAGTTTCCTATTCCTTTTAGATATACAACTCCAAGTTGTTTGTGTGCTTGTCTACTGTACAAATAGCAAATCAGGATGGGGAAACAAATACCACTCTGTGCAGTAAGGTTTGCTTTGCCTGTGAAAAACTTACAATTTAGTCATATTTCCGTACCCATAAATATTACTGTGATTAAAACCTTCTGAATTTAGGGAAAGTAGGCTTAATGATATTTTTATGTTGTGTGGTATGATGTGACGTTACTGCATCTCATCTCCCCTCCAACTCCCTGTGCTGATGGTTCTACCTCTAAAGGGGGAGGGAAATGCATGCCATAGCTTCTCCTGATGCTTTCCTGTATTGCCTTGCCATGTACATGTCTACATGTGTGTGCTACAAAGTCCTATGCTAGACTATAGGATAATATCTGTTAATAAATGAACCAAGAGTGCTGAAGTGGAAAAAATATATTTAGTACATCTTACTAGAAAATGCAGGAGTCAGAAGCAAGTTCAACTGCAGATCTTAGTAAATGTGTTTGGTATTGAAGATTTAAACTTCCAAACGCAAGCACGTTAGGAAATGAAAATGATGCATGTGCTGAATAACTGGAGCATAATTTTACATCACTAAACAAATTCTTACAAATTCCCACACCTGAATCCTCAACTTTCAGGTAGTAAAACTGCACTGTTTATACGAACTCCTTCAGAAGAAAAGTACGACTGTTAGTAAACACAATCTCTAATTTCACTTTTTAAATTGTTGTGGTTTTTATTTAAGATGGACCGCTGTGTAATCTGGAACACATGCAACTAATTTGTGCATCCGCAAACTCTGGCAACAAAACCTCTATGCTGATTTTGTCCAAATGACAAAAATCTTACTGCTGTCTTTATTCTATGTTGGTTCTCTCCCCTTCTTCCCTTGTGTTACAGTACCACTATAAAATGATGCAGTATTTGCAGCTAAGAGTGAGCTGTCAAATTCTCTTAACTTCTTGCTAAACTAACTTTTAAATTAATGTTTTCCATTTTTGTCCCTATTACTACTTACCCTGTATTTTTTGCATAGTTTGTAATTTAAAATACTGAATGGAAGTACTAGCTGTAACTATCATTGTGAAGTCAGTCTGCTGATATACGAATAGACTATCACCCTGTTACATATAATAATCCATAGTATTAAATACAGCTGTAGTACTACAAGTGATTTGGTGTACTTCCCTTTGCTCCTCTGCTCCCTGTGAAGGCACAGCTTTCAAAAGAATTTATGATTACAGAAAAATCAATGAGTTGGTACTGAACAGTCTTAACCGTGCCTGCTAAAACCTGAGTCATCTTAATCAAAACGAATTTAGAATTGCAGTTTGATCACTTGAAGTGAAAATTATTCTCTTTATGTCCATGGCAAAAGTCTTCTGGAAACTGTGGGCTTGTAAAATGCACCTCAGGGAAAAGTGCTGGCTGCAAACCCAGGAAACTGATGCAACTTAAAGCTGCTCTGTTTGTACCAAGCTCCCACCGGGATCTGCTGCTGTTTAATCCCCAGCAGTCTTAAATTCATCCTTGCAGGTAACCCTGAACCATGGGGGCTCCCAGCATTGCTATGCTTGACGACTCCTGTTCAGCACTTACACAATGACATCACCTATGCGATGGGACTTCTGAAATCACTGCGAATGCTTCCTGGAAAGCCTGCAGGTGCTTTTCACCTCCAAGTTGTACCAACTGATTTTCCCAGCTGCATCAAATGAACTTCTAATTTCAGCCTGAAATGGCCTTCAGCTGCCCCCACGGCACCCACATGTTATTCCGAGAGCAACAGTTTTGAATCCGCTTCAGTTCGCTGGTCTCTTTTAACTTTTCGGTGAAAGGATGACAAACGGTGAACACGAGCCTAATAGCACCGCGCTGTC